ATTGAAAATACGGCTTTAACTTCCGTGAGGTGCTTAGCAAAGCGAGCGCCAATTTCTCTAAGTGAGGATACCTAGTTTCGGCCTCGCCTAGAGTCCTGCTAACATAATAGATAGGAAATTGCGTACCTTCCTCTTCTCGGACTAGGACTCCACTTACTGCTATCTCGGATACCGCTAAGTACAAGTACAACTGCTCGTCTGCCTTCGGAGTATGAAGCAAATGCGGGCTCGAAAGATACCGCTTGAGTTCTTCCAAAGCTTGTTGGCACTCTGGGGTCCATGAGAAGTTGTTCTTCTTATTTAACAACGAGAAGAACTAGTGGCTCTTATCGTAGGACCTTGAAATGAACCGTCCCAAGGCGGCTATGCACACGGTTAGCCTTTGAATAGCCTTGACATTGTCCACGACGGTGATGTCTTCTATGGCCTTGATCTTGTACGGATTGATCTCGATTCCCCGGTTATACACCATAAATCCAAGAAACTTTCCGGATCCGACCCCGAATGCGCATTTCTCCGGGTTCAGCTTCATATTGTATTTCTTTAGTATGTTGAAGGTTTCCTGCAAATGTTCCAAATGGTCCTCTGCTCGCAGGGACTTTACTAACATGTCATCAATGTAAACCTCCATCGATTTTCCTATTTGTTCTTCGAACATCCGGTTTACTAGGCGTTGGTAAGTGGAACCAACATTCTTTAACCTGAACGGCATTACATTATAACCATTGGTGCCGTATTTAGTGATGAAGGAAGTTTTTTCCTGATCTCCCGGGTCCATCCAGATTTGGTTGTACCCAGAATAGGCATCGAGAAAGTTGAGGATCTCATGGTCGGCCGTCGCATCGATCATGCGATCGATATTGGGCAGAGGAAAAGATTCCTTGGGGCATGCTTTGTTCAGGTCTTTGTAGTCTACACACATTCTTAATTTATTTCCCTTTTAGGGACTACTACTACGTTTGCTAACCAATTCGGGTACTTAACTTCCCGAATGGAACCAATTTTAAGGAGTTTAGGTACCTCGTCTTTGATGAATGCATGCTTGACTTCGGACCGAGGCCTCCTCTTTTGTTTAACCAGGTGAAACTGCGAGTTCAAGGTCAGCTTGTGAGTAGTTATTTCCGGCGGGATCCCTGTCATGTCAAGATGGAACCAAGCAAAACAATCTATGTTAGTTATAAGGAATTCAATGAATTTTTTCCTGAGCACGGGACTTAAAGCCGTGCCCAAGTATACCTTCCGATCGGGCAGGTGCTCGATCAATATGACTTGCTCCAGCTCCTCGACCGTTGACTTGGTGGCATCAGAATCGTCAAGGATTATGAAAGACATGGGAACTCTGTAGTCGTCATCCTCGCCCGTTCCCTACTTTTATGGTTCGGTCGGGGCTGGCGTCGGTGATTGCTATTTGGTTTCTTCCTTGGTGACCAAACTCGGGTTCTTTGATATCGAGAGTGAGGATATCGGAACCACCTCATTGACTGTGAATATCCCTTTTACGGTCGGTTGCTCCCCGTAAACTGTTTTAACTTCTCCTAGTATGAGGAATTTTAACGCCTAGTGTAATGTCGAGGGTATTGCCCTTATGTTGTGAATTCATAGCCTTCCGAGCAGAGCATTGTATCTCATATCTCCTTCGATCACGTAGAACATTGTTTCCTAAACGGTTCCGGCGGTGTTCAACGGTAGGGTTATCTCCCATATAGTGGTTTCACATGCCATGTTGAATCCGTTTAGAGCTTGGACTGCAGGCACAATTTGGTCTTGTAGAACCAGTTGTTCTACGACCCTCGATCTGATGATATTGGCTGAGCTACCTGGATCAATTAACACACGCTTAACTCGAGATCTATATGTAAGTACAGATATTACCAGTACGTCATTGTGTGGCTGCACGATGCCTTCAGCGTCATCGTCATTGAAAGATACGGTTCCTTCTGGCACAAAATCTTGAATCCTTTTTTCCCTTGTGATGGACACTTTGGTGCGCTTTAACATCGGCCCCTGGGGGACGTCAACCCCACCAATGATCATGTTAATGACGTCCCGAGGTTCCTCTTGCTCGATCACTCAGAAACTCTCGGAGGTGTTCGTTTTTTAATAATCGGGCTACTTCCTCTCTCGGTTGTCGGCAGTCTTCGGTCATGTAGCCATGAGTTCCATGATATTTACACATTAGGTTGGGGTCCCTTTGGCCAGGATCGGATTGCAATGGTAAAGTCCACTTAGTATATTTGATACGTCCGATGGCTAATACGATGGCGGCAGTGTCGATGTTGAAGAGTTACTCCGATAACCTTGGTCTTCCTTAGGCATGATGGGTCTGTAAAATCCGCTTTTGCTCATGAGTCCCCAATTATTCTGACCTCAGTCGCTCCTTCTTTCACTTCCCGTAATGTTGTGTATGGACCCATTGCCCCTTCGATCTCCATTGTACGGTTGATACTGTTCTCTATTCAATCTTGTTTCACGATCAATGTCTCTCTTGGATCTGTCACCTAATCCGACGGGATAAATGGACCCGGAAGGGGCCTTGAGCTGATCGTCTTCGACCCTGATTTTCGATTGGTATCGGTTATGAATGTCGGCCCATGTTACTACCGGGTATTCTATTAGATTTTGCATTAACTGTTATGAAACCAATGAGCTTCGGGGATTGAGTCCTTGGGTGAAGGCCTGAACGGCCCAATCGCCTGTGACCAGAGGCAGGTTCATCCATTCCATTTGAAACCTCGATACGAATTACTTGAGCATCTCGTTATCTCTTTGCTTTACCTTGAAAAGGTCTGATTTCTTGGTCTCGACCTTAAAGGCCCCAGCGTGCGCTTTTAAAAATGTGTCTCCAAGCATAGTAAATGAGTCAATAGAATTAGGGAGTAAGTTGTGATACTATATCATAGCTCCTTTCGACAAGGTCTCTCCGAACTTTTTCAACAGAACGAATTCGATTTCATCATCTTCCAAGTCATTTCCTTTGATGGCGTACGTATAAGAGGTCACATGTTCGTTGGGATCGATTGTCCTATTATACTTCAGAATTTCGGGCATACGGAACTTCTTTAGGATCGGCTTCAGAGCTGCGCTCGGAGAGAAAGGCTTTTGGACAAATTTTTTGGAATCCAGGCCCTTCAGTATCGGTGGTGCTCCCGGGATTTAGTTGACCGTGGAGTTATAGGTCTCCATTTTTTTGTTGCTGGCTTCGATTTTCGTTTCTCCTGATTCCATCCATTTTTTCAGTTCCTCAAGCATCTTTATTATCTCAGGTTTGGTCCCGGGTTCTGCTTCACCTGACCTTTCTATGGCCGGTTCATTTCTACGGGCATTTTTTCGCGACGATTCGGGCTCAACTCTGCTGGGGGCTCGACTTTGGTTCTGCAACTGGGCTATCGTTGTCTGTTGAGCCTGTAACATTTCGAATATCACGCGCAAGTTGATCTCGCCACCTTCTCCGTCGCGTGTAGTCCAGGCTATCGATCGGGCTCTCCCGCGAATGCTATTTTCGGTGTCAGCAGGCAAGTTTGCTTCGGTTGCCACATGTGAGTTGGCATCGATCGGATCAACGACCGGGACTCTGTTGGGGTCAGCATAGGGCACCTCGTTGCTGGGTACCACGTTATTTTTTTTTTCCATGATGGTCCGACTCAGCATCCACGTTCAAATGGGCAGATTGGGAGTTCGACATTTTTTATTAGACCTGGAATTAAAAGCTCAAAGAACAAGTGTAAAATAGAGTGTGTTATGGAAATTTGTATCAAATTACCACTATTATCCTTAGCCCCCATGGTGGGCGCCAAACTGTTTACCCTAAAAAATGGATAACAATTAAATTTGTAAGTGATTTTAAGGATACGTTGATTAATTCAATACAAACGATAAATTGCGTTAGATTAAACAGATAAATGAAGTGATAAAATATCAAACCAATCAAGAGGTGTGATCCCGCACTTAGTAACAGCTTAATGGAATGCCTGCCTTTGAACCCGGGCTCACGTTACTGATGATTTGAATAACAGAGAAAATAAGAGTATATTGCCTTGATGTGCGTATTATCATGTCTCTAATGAATAATCAGACCCCCTATGTATAGTAGGGGAGTTTTACCCTATGTACAATTCCATAAAAGGTAAAAATCTTTCGTTTAACTAATCAGTGGTTTTCTGCCGATATGTGCCGAGATCCACGCCGTGATATCCGACATGTCGCGAATATCACGGCCTTTTGTTGGTCTTGCTCGATTGTCTGGTAATGCTCTCCGAGACTTTTGGGGTTTGAACCGAACCTGGGATCATGACACCGATACTCCCGAGGGCCGGTGTTTTGCCCGGACCCCGGATCAAGGGGCTCCTTGCCTCGATTCTGGTTCCTTGCCTTTACGTTTCTTGCTCAGTTCACTTCATCGGAAATCGAGACATCCTATGGGCTCGATTTCACCCGTATACAACCCTCTTACATGTGTATCCGATATCTTATACTCGAAATATAGATAGGATTCTTAAAGCTTTTCCCTTTAATTTTTTTATTATCCGTAGGTAATAGCTAGGTAGAAGTGGCTTGACTGAATGAATCGATCAGAGAAAAGAGGAATAGACATTCGGAGTGACTTGACTGACTGAGTTAGAGAGAAAGAAACCGATGTGATGGAATACATAGAAACAATATAGGTACAATCTTTGTGCTATTCTTAGTAAAATCGCACTAAGCTTTTATAACTCTTTTCAATAACCACAAGGCCAGTACTGGAGACATTCTATATATTTCAAAGAATATGAAATTGACCAAGAATAACTTTTTATAGAGCTTTAATGGAGTAATAGTAGTACTTTTTTGTAGTTTTCCCTGGTCTATTATATATATATATATAGAAAAGGCTTGATGGTCGACCAAGGACATAAATGATATTTTGCTCTGCCATTATTTATTTTATGTGTAAAACTGCTTTATTTTCTTCGCAATATATCTGACACAAACTCTAGAACTTTCCCTAGCTTTCTGAAGCAAAAACAACAACAAAAAGAGAATTAGTGAAGGTCTTATTTTGGTTAATAGCTTTTAGGTCCCGTGCAATTTATCGAATTTCAGACTGCTTTACGAATTTTTGGTTAGTATTAGGCAAAGAATATCTAATAGTAAATTTTAGGGAAACAAATGCTGCTGAATTTTATGTCACTCTCTTCAAATATCCGATGCACATCAGGTATCCCTTTTAGCCCTTGTTCTCTAGTGATACGTTTATTGTTCAACTCCAGAGTTCTTCTTCGCTTCTTATAAGTGTCATCTCTCTGTTTTGGAGTGTTTCTCAACTCTCTTCGGCGTTTTTTTCTATTCTTCAGGCCGCATAGTTGATTTAGTGGTAAATATTTTTAGGATTCTCTAATGACTTGGGCTCTAATGACGAGCAGTTTATAGATGTGGTATAGTTGAGCATCATAATTTCTGTAATCTATGCAAAGATATGAATATTTGTTGGCATGTGTTCTTCTATCCTTTAGTATTATATGAATGTTTTTAACTAATATTTGTATTTACAGGACTTACATTTCCCATGCACTTGGTGTATCATTATGCTACCTTCAAACCAAGTGATATCCTGCATCTTAGAGGTAGGTATCTTTTCATTAGTTTGGAAAATCTAGATGATTAATCTTGTGGCTTACTAGAACGATCAATAGTTGTACTAGCAATCCACGTTACATCAATGCTGATTTCCTTGCTTTTGTTCTAATGTATTTATCTAGGACTACCTCTATTGCTTGTTTGCTTTCTTTCTTTCTTTCTTTCTTTTTTTCTTGTTCTCTGTTTTTTTGTACATTGGACCCATATTATAGGTTGCTAAATATGTTAAGTTTGCTAATGAAACCTTTGATGACTTCTTCTAATATCTTATGGTGTATTGTTGTCTAGAGGTGTGACATATACCTTGCTACAAGTCTAACCTCACTGGGTTATTAAACAACATATAATGACTTTTAGTTATTTCCTAAGACACGCATGTGACAAATTCTGGAACTAACTCTCTATGTTGAATATGAACATGTTGAAATGGGAATTTATTCATTAATACTGTAGTGACATGGTTGAAAACACTGACCATATGGAGATTTTAATCGGACAACATTTAACAAACGTTTACATTTAGCCAACTGTTAGTTTTGTCCACTGTAATGTTTAATTGGCATATCATCCTGAAATGAAATGGACTAAGCTCATGAATCATGAGAAAGAAGAAAAGTGCTTACTACTTGCTCTAGGTTGAATCCTTTTTATTAATGTCTGTTATCTTTGAGACATGATAGGTTGTGGTCTTTATAAATGAGTTGTGAGTGTATGTTGAATTCCATTAAGTTCTCTTTAGCTTTAATATTTTTTTGTCTCCTTTATCTTTTGACCGATTAAAGGCTTTGGTCATTTTAAATGAGTAATTAGCTGAAATATTCTTTGTTGCAGGCATCAAGAACGCTGCTATATTTATTCCTGTAGAACCATGCCGGGATAAGAGTTGCTAAGGTAAATTTTGAAGCTTAGCAGAATAAAAATGGAAATCTTTGTTTACTTTTTGTGTTTCAAGAATAAATACGTACTATCTCCTCTTACCCTTTATGTTATGTTAGGAAATACTTTATGATCCTAAATGGATAGCTGCACATGCTATTTGTGTTTAACTATTTTCTTGGTCTATTTTAACTATCAATCTTCAAACAACGCATAAAGAGAGGTTGTGTATGCGTAAAAATACAAGCACTGTGTAATGTGTTTGTGCAATATTAAGATGCCAACTCGGTAAAATGATTTGATCGTATTTGTTGTTTTTGTACTAATATAATTGTGTTATTTTAGTCATCCTGTCGCCATTCTACAAGCAAGACATCATATAGTATCTTTGTTTCAGGTCTATAACCATGTTTGGAGGGTAATTTATTTCTTTTACCACATGTGAAAGTAAATATTGCTTTAGCTCATATTGATGCAATGTATAGTACTTCACTGTTCCGGCCCTACAACAATATTTTTTATAGGTTTATTTGTAGATAGATATATTATTAAATTTTAACTATAACTGAAAAGTTAGCATTCTTTCTGATTTCTAAATTGTTTATTATTGGCAGATTTTAACTTTCTCCCAATGCCTACAAAACCCACACCATTTCAAAATGAAATAACTAAATTTTGAATACGATGCTAGAAATTAAGCACAGAAGCTAAGATATTCTATAATATTTTTTATGTTTGTTTGTACACGGTAACACTTTAATATTTGATACAAGGACCAAATTTGCATATGAAGAAAAGAGTAGTACACCAGGAATCTTTGTATTTGAGTGTGAAGCAACTTTTGTCATGAAACTTGAGGTTTCCAAACCATGATTTGATAGGAATTCAGTTTATATTTCCCAATTTATAATGTTAAGAAGTCTTTTGGAATTCTTAATACTTGAAAGAAAAAAACGTTATGCTTGATTTCAAGATTTTGTGTCCTTTCTAATCTGAGGTAAAATGTGGATAGCAACAATCTAGGGAAACCTCTCTTAATTGACTGAGCACGGAATTTAAGAAAATAAAGAAGATTTTTAAATTTGTGGTGTAAAATAAGGCACATATATTTTGTGTGGCTATAAATTATTGCATAAAGGTAAATTATTTTCAAATAGGGAAAGATGTCATTCTTTTTGACACGAACTAAAAAGGAAATAGGTTCACATAAATTGAAACGAAGGGAGTATCATTTTAGTGGGCATTTGGACATAAGAATTGTAAAATTTCAAAATACTGGAAAAAATATTTCAAGTGAAAATGGCATTTGAAATTTAGAGTTCTGTTTGGATATGAATATAATTTTGGGTAGTTTTTAAAATTTTGTGAGTGATTTGAGTGAAAATTTTAAAAAATAATTTTTTAGAATTTTTTAAATTTTTAAAATATAATTTAAAATAAAAATTAAAAATTTTATAAACAAACGACAATTTCGAAAAAAGTGATTCTTATGTCCAAACGGGCTTTTAGTATCATCAACTCACTAAACAGGGGCCCCTCAATCCTCATCCACACGTCACCGGCACGATAGATAGAGATTAGAGTATGCGAAGTATAATTACATGGCTCATATTAACCCCAGTGAAAAGTGTTTTTAACTCTTTACCCATAATACTGTGTGGTGGAAAGCTGTGGATGTTGACTTACAACAAAAAAATCTCAGTTTAAGTTAATTATTCGGGTAGGTAGCGTAAGAAATATCTACACAATTAACAACCAAATTTTTGTTGGTCACATGTATGGTGTGTTGTTCGATTCTACAGGTTATTTTATAAAATTTTCATATTTTATTATATTTAATCAAAATTAAATTTTTTAAAACCGTTCCAATCATGTTAGTTCCTCTTCGGTATCGGTATCGGTACGGTTCGATTAATTTTCGATATTCTTTAGATACAGCAACAACAACCCAGTAAAATCCCACTAATGGGGTCTAGGGAGGGTAGTGTGTACGCAAACCTTATCCCTACCCCAAAGGAGTAGAGAGGTTGTTTTCGAAAGACCCTCGGCTCAAGAAAACAAAAAGACAAAAGGACAAAAGGAGACTTTCGATATTTTTTTAGATGTCGGGTAAAAATTACTAATAGAAGTAGAATGCAATAATATACATACTTTTATAGGATTTCGCAAAACACTCTAAATATTTTTACTGTTTAAAGGGTGATTGTCACGACCCAAAACTAACCCCCTGTCGTGATGGCGCCTATCGTGGAACTAGGCAAGCCGACTCATTTCCAAAACAAAACGATATTTTCATTTCAAAGATAATTTCAAGATTATTTAACATAAAAACCTCCATTTAAAGAGTTCAAATCAAAGAAAAACAGAAGTGCGGAAAANAACCCCCGGTCAAACTTCTCCAAAAATAAAACTTTCGGCATTTCAAGCCTAATTTCTCTACGGACTCCCAAATAATATTCCGGACACGCTCCTAAGCCCAACATCATCATACGGAGCTATTGGAATCATCAAAATTCAAATCCGAGGTCGTTTACATATAGGTCCATATCCGGTCGACTTTTCTAACTTAAAATTTTTAATTATGAGACTAAGTGTCTTATTTCACCCCGAGTCTCTTTCGGACTCGAACCAACTATCCTGATATAACATAATATAGCTGAATAACACAAAAAGAAGTAGGAATGGGGAAAACAACGTTACAACTTTCGAAACAACCGGCCGAGTCGTTACATATGATGAATTAAGAAAACATGAAAGATGGCTAGAGTATTAGATCCATCAATTATTCGACAACAGTATAAAAGAAACTAAGCACAAAGAAAATATAAATTACACGATTGAAAAAAGATATTAACCAAGCTTGGAATCAAGAATAAAGTATATGAAAAATTAAATATTCAAAAAGATAAATTTAAATCATATGAAAGGAAACATATTTAATACATTGTAGTTTGCTACTCATAATCGCTAGAATATATTGTGTCTTGCTAGCGAATTTGCTGAAAATAATTTAATTTCAATAGGAGTAGCATAATAGTTTTGGGAATTAGGATTTTGAGTTTAATTACTCGTTGACTTTTAATCACTTTTATAATTCCAATGCCCAAAAAATGCTTTATTATTTTTAAACTTAATATATAAATATATTGTCTACATGTAAATTTATTCGTAACGATTCGATATTTTTTCGGTTTATTTTCACAAAATAAAAAACCTACCTTAATTATCAGTACGGTTATAAATTTATATAAAAACATACGGTTTTATTAAAAAAACCTAAAAATCGATTCGGTACGATTTGATTGGTTTAGTCGATTTTTAAATATCCATTGACACCCCTAGTGATATGATAATTACTATCAAAAATCAAAATTCACGAAAAGTGCCAAAGTTTTATATTATGTAAAATATAACTTAAATTTAACTTTTACTAATTTTATATTATGTTCTTGGTACTTAATGACATCAATCAACTTTTGGTATCCACACTTGGAGTTCACTGCCCAAAATGTCAACTTTGATATTAAAAAAAAGTTGTTGGTATTCTGACGTGATTATAAAGGGAAGAAGATATTTTTCCCGTGTTTACGGCATCATGAGAGCAATTGTTGAGGCTTGAGGGCAACAAGGATAGCGACCCCCATTCACTTTTATTGAAGCTTTTTATTTTTAATTCAACCTTTATTCAATTATTTTAGAAAATCTAGTATTGGTTACAATTACGGCGACGCAATATTCGATGATTACTATGTTTCCCTTGTTTATTTAAAGTGGGATTTGTAGTCAAGATTCTAAGCATGAGTTTTGAGTTATCTTCATCTTCTTGTATCGAGGGATGAGAGATCTGCCTATGCACTACAATCACTACGCAGACATGATATGTATTCATATTTGCATCAACCCTTTTAAATGTATTTTTCCATATTTAAGTAATATTTACTCTCCTTTTAATTTGATAGTTGTGATTAAATTATTTGTTTGCTGCAAGTATTTGTGCCTGTTTTTTTTCCTTCATATTTTTATATAACTTATTTATAATAAATTATTGTAATTTGATTAAATATGATTTTTAAAAATTAAATCGAGTTCATCCCGTCATCCTTTTATAGAATTAAGAACAATATA